TAGGCATGAGCCACCCTGCTGGGTCTTTCATTTTTTAACCAACACTTCCCCCACTGCCCCTACCCGCTGGCAATCAGTATTCTATTGTTTCCATGTCTGCTAAGAATGGATGCAGAGCTAGTGCACCTGTGGAGCCCACCTTCTTTTACCATGGTTCACGGAGGACTTTCACAGGATGGGTGCTTCTTAAAATTAGTGGAAAGAAACTGGATTTCATACATCCATATTATTCCTGTCTTCTTGTGACAGAATAATCACTGATAATCATACACAAAAGTATCTGGAAGTTTTGTGTGAAATTTAAAGCTCTAAAACCAGTAGACACTCACGTGGGGTTTTATCTAAGAATTGGCATTTGATAAAATAAATGGCAAGAAAAGAATATGAAATCGTCTTCAACATATGACCCCAAAGAATAGAACCTAAATGCAGCAAATGAGAACCAGTCATGTATGGTTGGCCAGGCATGGTAGCTCACACCTGAGTGTAATCCTAGCCTTCTGGGAGGCCGAGGCGGGTGGATTGCCTGAGTTCACAGGTTCGAAACCAGCCTGAGCCAAAGTGAGACCCCCATTTCTAAAAATAGCTGGGTATTGTGGCGGGTGCCTATAGTCCCAGCTACTTGGGAGGTTAAGGCAAGAGAATCACTTGAGCAGAAGAGTTTGAGGTTGCTGTGAGCTATGAGGCCATGGCACTCTACCAAGGGCGAGAAAGTGAGATTCTGCCTCAAAAAAAAAAATAAAGATAAATAGTCATGTATGAACTCTTATCCAAGCATGTTTCTCTGTACCTAAAAAAACTAACTCCCCTACTTCCTGGTATTAAAGAAAAACAAGTCTTCTGATGTCCTCCTGTAATTTTTAAGTTGTAACGATTTATTGAGACTAATAATTTGAAAACAACAGTTAAAGATCCCTTAAATATTCTTCACAAGTGACTTCAGTTGTAATAAACATATAAAGATAAGTATTATTTTCTAAAAGAATACTTTGTCTTTTCCTATAATTTCTGAAATAACATATTGTGACCACTGTGATGCTATGGTCCTAAATTTTAACAATGGGTAAATCAGCAAAGGTGTAGCAAAAGAAATAATACAGAGATCAAAAGATAACCTGAGAACCAAGTCAAAGTGAAAAACATGATTGAAAATGAATTTCTTTTTCTTTCTTTTTTTGTTCCAGTTGTCGATGATGTTTAGCTGGCCTGAGCCAGGTTTGAACGCGTCACCCTTGGTGCGTGTGGTTGGCGCCATAACCACTGTGCTACGGGCATCACCCTGAAAATGAACATCTGAAGACACTGATAGCTCAATTCTTGAAGTTTTTTCCCCTGTCCAGCTGTTGGCCAAATAAGATTAGAACCACCAGATAAGAAGGTTGACACAACATGAAAGGTAGAAAAAGCTCAAAATCCTGTCATCATCAATAGCCAGTTCTTCAGACCTCTTCTCTGTGAGCTGGCCTTGACCTTGAGT